ACTGAAGAAGCCTGAGAGTTAACTGACCCACTGTAGAACTGACCCCCCCACTGTAGGACTGACCCCCCCCCTGTAGGACTGACCCCTCCTGTAGGCCTGACCCCCACTGTAGGACTGACCCCCCCCCTGTAGGACTGACCCCCCCTGTAGTACTGACCCCCCTCTGTAGGCCTGACCCCCCCTGTAGGCCTGACCCCCCCCCGTAGGCCTGACCCCCCTGTAGGACTGACCCCCCTGTAGGCCTGACCCTCACTGTAGGACTGACCCCCCCCCCCCCTGTAGGACTGACCCCTCCTGTAGTGCTGACCCCCCTCTGTAGGCCTGACCCCCCCCCCCTCTGTAGGCCTGACCCCCCCTGTAGGCCTGACCCCCTCCTGTAGGACTGACCCCCCCCCGTAGGCCTGACCCCCTCTGTAGGCCTGACCCCCCCTGTAGGCCTGACCCCCCCCCCGTAGGCCTGACCCCCCCCCCCGTAGGCCTGACCCCCCCTGTAGGCCTAACCCCACCCCCTGCAGGCCTGACCCCATGCGTAGGCCGGACCCCTCCCCCCCGTAGGCCTGACCCCCCCCCCGTAGGCCTGACCCCCCCTGTAGGACTGACCCCCACTGTAGGGCTGATGATGAAGGCCTCATGTGGAGCCCTCTGCATCCGCTGCATGACGTCAGAGAAGGTGAAGCCGCAGCCTGGGACAGGGTCAGACCTGGAATAACACGTATGTAACATTAACATGTGGAAACGTGTTCTCTTCATGGCTTTGCTCATGTGTAATAACATAAGTTAGTAAGTCTGTAAGTAATGTTTATTTATATAGCGCATTTTGAAAGACCAAGGCCACCCAAAGAAGTTCAGAGCTCAGATCTTGTTCCACTTTCTCCACACAGCGATGACAGAAGTGAGACGCAGAACACACTGGTCCATCAAAACCTCCGACCAAACACCCTCCATTCTCTCACTCATTTACATTCATAACTATTGTGCATGTTTTTAGTGGTATAACCGGAGCACCTGGAGGAAACCTACACAAACATGGGGTGAACATGCAAACTCCACTCAGAAAGACCCTGTTCCGACCGGGATTCGAGCCCAGGAGCTTCTTGCTGAGAAGCGAGAGTGCTAACCACTCAGCCACCAAAGTTAGTCATTAGACATGTTATTCTAACAATCATTCCCTTTATTGCCGGGGTGGAGGGTGGGGTCACTTCAGCTCGCTTGTTTTGTTTGGACTGATGTTCATATCCCCACCTGGCCTGATGTGCAGGATTAAACCCCATCACCACCGGGGTGAAGACGTCCGGGTGTCGGAGGCAGAAGTCCAGTTGACCAGCAACAAATGGAGCCTGTCATAGAAATAATAAACTGTTACAAAATACATTTTATTATTGCTTTGTTAGAAGAACGTTCTCCAAACTTACTGACAAACCACAGGAGATTCCAATGAACAGAACCTGCTTCTGTCCTTCACTCACCTACAGAAAACAATTCAATACAAGTACTTCACTCACCTACAGAAAATAATTCAATACAAGTACTACACTCACCTACAGAAAATAATCAATACAAGTACTTCACTCACCTACAGAAAATAATTCAATACAAGTACTTCACTCACCTACAGAAAATAATTCAATACAAGTACTTCACTCACCTACAGAAAATATTTCAATACAAGTACTTCACTCACCTACAGAAAATAATTCAATACAAGTACTTCACTCACCTACAGAAAATAATTCAATACAAGTACTTCACTCACCTACAGAAAATAATTCAATACAAGTACTTCACTCACCTACAGAAAATAATTCAATACAAGTACTTCACTCACCTACAGAAAATATTTCAATACAAGTACTTCACTCACCTATGGAAAATAATAATAATTCAATACAAGTACTTCACTCACCTACAGAAAATATTTCAATACAAGTACTTCACTCACCTACAGAAAATAATTCAATACAAGTACTTCACTCACCTACAGAAAATAATTCAATACAAGTACTTCACTCACCTACAGAAAATAATTCAATACAAGTACTTCACTCACCTACAGAAAATATTTCAATACAAGTACTTCACTCACCTACAGAAAATAATTCAATACAAGTACTTCACTCACCTACAGAAAATAATTCAATACAAGTACTTCACTCACCTACAGAAAATAAATCAATACAAGTACTTCACTCACCTACAGAAAATAATTCAATACAAGTACTTCACTCACCTACAGAAAATAATTCAATACAAGTACTTCACTCACCTACAGAAAATAATTCAATACAAGTACTTCACTTACCTACAGAAAATAATTCAATACAAGTACTTCACTCACCTACAGAAAATAATTCAATACAAGTACTTCACTCACCTACAGAAAATATTTCAATACAAGTACTTCACTCACCTATGGAAAATAATCATAATAATAATTCAATACAAGTACTTCACTCACCTACAGAAAATATTTCAATACAAGTACTTCACTCACCTATGGAAAATAATCATAATAATAATTCAATACTAGTACTTTTACTTTAGATCCAAAGAATGTCAGAGGCTCAATCTCAGAATAAAAGGGGAAAATACTACTACTACTACTACTTCTACTCCCACTACCACTACTACTACTACTACTTCTACTCCCACTACCACTACTACTACTACTACTTCTACTCCCACTACCACTACTACTACTGCTACTTCTACCTGTTGTAAACAGCGCATGCCCAGTGCAGCGTCATCCTCCGGTGCTTCTTGTGAGGTGAACAGAGCCCTGCAGATAATAAACAATACATAATATAAAAATAAATAAAATAAATGTCTTTGGTTAAAGTCACCGGTCTCCTCCTGCGATCGTGTACGTGTATATGGGTTGGTAAAAGTCACCGGTCTCCTCCTGCGATCGTGTACGTATATATGGGTTGGTAAAAGTCACCGGTCTCCTCCTGCGATCGTGTACGTGTATATGGGTTGGTAAAAGTCACCGGTCTCCTCCTGCGATCGTGTACGTGTATATGGGTTGGTAAAAGTCACCGGTCTCCTCCTGCGATCGTGTACGTGTATATGGGTTGGTAAAAGTCACCGGTCTCCTCCTGCGATCGTGTACGTATATATGGGTTGGTAAAAGTCACCGGTCTCCTCCTGCGACCGTGTACGTGTATATGGGTTGGTAAAAGTCACCGGTCTCCTCCTGCGATCGTGTACGTATATATGGGTTGGTAAAAGTCACCGGTCTCCTCCTGCGATCGTGTACGTATATATGGGTTGGTAAAAGTCACCGGTCTCCTCCTGCGATCGTGTACGTATATATGGGTTGGTAAAAGTCACCGGTCTCCTCCTGCGATCGTGTACGTGTATATGGGTTGGTAAAAGTCACCGGTCTCCTCCTGCGATCGTGTACGTATATATGGGTTGGTAAAAGTCACCGGTCTCCTCCTGCGATCGTGTACGTATATATGGGTTGGTAAAAGTCACCGGTCTCCTCCTGCGACCGTGTACGTGTATATGGGTTGGTAAAAGTCACCGGTCTCCTCCTGCGACCGTGTACGTGTATATGGGTTGGTAAAAGTCACCGGTCTCCTCCTGCGATCGTGTACGTGTATATGGGTTGGTAAAAGTCACCGGTCTCCTCCTGCGACCGTGTACGTGTATATGGGTTGGTAAAAGTCACCGGTCTCCTCCTGCGACCGTGTACGTATATATGGGTTGGTAAAAGTCACCGGTCTCCTCCTGCGATCGTGTACGTGTATATGGGTTGGTAAAAGTCACCGGTCTCCTCCTGCGATCGTGTACGTGTATATGGGTTGGTAAAAGTCACCGGTCTCCTCCTGCGACCGTGTACGTGTATATGGGTTGGTAAAAGTCACCGGTCTCCTCCTGCGATCGTGTACGTGTATATGGGTTGGTAAAAGTCACCGGTCTCCTCCTGCGATCGTGTACGTGTATATGGGTTGGTAAAAGTCACCGGTCTCCTCCTGCGACCGTGTACGTGTATATGGGTTGGTAAAAGTCACCGGTCTCCTCCTGCGATCGTGTACGTATATATGGGTTGGTAAAAGTCACCGGTCTCCTCCTGCGATCGTGTACGTGTATATGGGTTGGTAAAAGTCACCGGTCTCCTCCTGCGATCGTGTACGTATATATGGGTTGGTAAAAGTCACCGGTCTCCTCCTGCGATCGTGTACGTGTATATGGGTTGGTAAAAGTCACCGGTCTCCTCCTGCGACCGTGTACGTGTATATGGGTTGGTAAAAGTCACCGGTCTCCTCCTGCGATCGTGTACGTGTATATGGGTTGGTAAAAGTCACCGGTCTCCTCCTGCGACCGTGTACGTGTATATGGGTTGGTAAAAGTCACCGGTCTCCTCCTGCGATCGTGTACGTATATATGGGTTGGTAAAAGTCACCGGTCTCCTCCTGCGATCGTGTACGTGTATATGGGTTGGTAAAAGTCACCGGTCTCCTCCTGCGATCGTGTACGTGTATATGGGTTGGTAAAAGTCACCGGTCTCCTCCTGCGATCGTGTACGTATATATGGGTTGGTAAAAGTCACCGGTCTCCTCCTGCGACCGTGTATATGGGTTGGTAAAAGTCACCGGTCTCCTCCTGCGATCGTGTACGTATATATGGGTTGGTAAAAGTCACCGGTCTCCTCCTGCGATCGTGTACGTATATATGGGTTGGTAAAAGTCACCGGTCTCCTCCTGCGATCGTGTACGTGTATATGGGTTGGTAAAAGTCACCGGTCTCCTCCTGCGATCGTGTACGTGTATATGGGTTGGTAAAAGTCACCGGTCTCCTCCTGCGATCGTGTACGTGTATATGGGTTGGTAAAAGTCACCGGTCTCCTCCTGCGATCGTGTACGTGTATATGGGTTGGTAAAAGTCACCGGTCTCCTCCTGCGATCGTGTACGTGTATATGGGTTGGTAAAAGTCACCGGTCTCCTCCTGCGACCGTGTACGTGTATATGGGTTGGTAAAAGTCACCGGTCTCCTCCTGCGATCGTGTACGTATATATGGGTTGGTAAAAGTCACCGGTCTCCTCCTGCGATCGTGTACGTGTATATGGGTTGGTAAAAGTCACCGGTCTCCTCCTGCGATCGTGTACGTGTATATGGGTTGGTAAAAGTCACCGGTCTCCTCCTGCGATCGTGTACGTGTATATGGGTTGGTAAAAGTCACCGGTCTCCTCCTGCGATCGTGTACGTGTATATGGGTTGCCGGTTCAACTCCTTCAATGCTTTGTTGAAACTCGTCTGAAAAAAAACACGATTGGGAGACGTAAAAATGCATTCTTTCAGTCATTTGGAAAAACTTTCATTACCGCCACGAAAAACGCCAGACGCCCGGACGTCCCACACCCACTGAGCACGACCCGGCTGTGGTCTCGGTCTGGGTCTGGGTCTCGGTCTCGGTCTCGGTCTGGGTCCTGGACGTGGAACATACTGATCATACATTTATTTAATGTAATCTGAGGCATTTGACAAATTGTGGAATTATGATTAAATATGAGGTTTTTATCTTAATCTGAGAGAGACCAGAGAGAGACCAGAGAGAGAGACCACAGAGACCAGAGAGAGACCAGAGAGAGAGACCACAGAGACCAGAGAGAGACCAGAGAGAGAGACCAGAGAGAGAGACCAGAGAGAGACCAGAGAGAGAGACCACAGAGACCAGAGAGAGAGACCAGAGAGAGACCAGAGAGAGACCAGAGAGAGAGACCAGAGAGAGACCAGAGAGAGACCAGAGAGAGACCAGAGAGAGACCAGAGAGAGAGACCAGAGAGAGAGACCAGAGAGAGACCAGAGAGAGACCAGAGAGAGAGACCACAGAGACCAGAGAGAGACCAGAGAGAGAGACCACAGAGACCAGAGAGAGACCAGAGAGAGAGACCAGAGAGAGAGACCAGAGAGAGACCAGAGAGAGAGACCACAGAGACCAGAGAGAGAGACCAGAGAGAGACCAGAGAGAGACCAGAGAGAGAGACCAGAGAGAGACCAGAGAGAGACCAGAGAGAGACCAGAGAGAGAGACCAGAGAGAGAGACCAGAGAGAGACCAGAGAGAGAGCAGAGAGAGACCAGAGAGAGAGACCAGAGAGAGAGACCAGAGAGAGACCAGAAAGAGAGACCACAGAGACCAGAGAGAGACCAGAGAGAGACCAGAGAGAGACCAGAGAGAGGCCAGAAAGCCATTTAGTCTCATTTCGAGAACTGTTGCTTTATTTCCTCATTCCAATGGAGACATTTCTTTATCTCTAAAACAAGATTGTTTTGCTTTGTTCCGTTGGAGAATCTTGTTTAATGCAGTCACAATGTGCTCAGATTAAGGTACATTTTGCCAAATCTGAGACATCTTATTATTCATCACTTTTTGCAGTGCATGAGAAGCAAACAAAGCAGGGAGTGAGCTTTAAAGCTGTGATTATGGTTGTATTTTAGAGCTCACCTTGAGGATCTTCTCTAACCTTAGAGCTACCTCCATCACCGTTTCCAACACAGCGTCGCTCAGAAGTCTCTGAAACATGAACAGTTCAACATGAGTACAGTGTGTGTGGTTATTCCATGTGTGCTGCACTGGGACCTGGTGCGGGCCGCCCATGGCTCTGGGGCCGCCCGTGGCTCTGGGGCCGCCCGTGGCTCTGGGGCCGCCCGTGGCTCTGGGGCCGCCCGTGGCTCTGGGGCCGCCCGTGGCTCTGGGGCCGCCCATGGACCTGGGGCCGCCCATGGCTCTGGGGCCGCCGGACTCTCCTCGGATCATTTGCATATCGCAGGCGTGGAGGATCCTGGAAATCTGATTGGCTGAAGCTCTGTCCAGGTCCTGGCTCAGAGGATTAGACTTCTCTGTGACAGGAAGTGAGGCCTCGTACTGAGGAGACTGCAAACAACATGGAGGAGTCACACAGGTACAGACAGACACAGGTACAGACAGACACAGGTACAGACAGACACAGGTACATACAGACACAGGTGCATACAGACACAGGTACATACAGACACAGGTACACACAGACACAGGTACACACAGACACAGGTGCATACAGACACAGGTGCATACAGACACAGGTACATACAGACACAGGTACATACAGACACAGGTACATACAGACACAGGTACATACAGACACAGGTACATACAGACACAGGTACACACAGACACAGGTACATACAGACACAGGTGCATACAGACACAGGTACATACAGACACAGGTACATACAGACACAGGTACATACAGACACAGGTACATACAGACACAGGTGCATACAGACACAGGTACATACAGACACAGGTACATACAGACACAGGTACATACAGACACAGGTGCATACAGACACAGGTACATACAGGCACAGGTACATACAGACACAGGTACATACAGACACAGGTACATACAGACACAGGTGCATACAGACACAGGTACATACAGACAAAGGTACATACAGACACAGGTACATACAGACACCAGTACACACAGACACAGGTACATACAGACACAGGTACATACAGACACCAGTACACACAGACACAGGTACATACAGACACAGGTACATACAGACACAGGTACATACAGACACAGGTACATCCAGACACAGGTACATACAGACACAGAGACATACAGACACAGGTACATACAGACACAGAGACACAGGTACATACAGACACAGGTACACAGGTACATACAGACACAGAGACACAGGTACATACAGACACAGAGACACAGGTACATACAGACACAGAGACACAGGTACATACAGACACAGAGACACAGGTACATATAGACACAGAGAGACACAGGTACATATAGACACAGAGACACAGGTACATACAGAGACACAGGTACATACAGACACAGAGACACAGGTACATATAGACACAGAGAGACACAGGTACATACAGACACAGAGACACAGGTACATACAGAGACACAGGTACATACAGACACAGAGACACAGGTACATATAGACACAGAGAGACACAGGTACATACAGACACAGGTACATATAGACACAGGTGCATACAGACACAGAGACACAGGTACATATAGACACAGAGAGACACAGGTACATACAGACACAGGTACATACAGACACAGGTGCATACAGACACAGGTACATATAGACACAGGTGCATACAGACACAGGTACATACAGACACAGGTGCATACAGACATAGGTACATATAGACACAGGTACATACAGACACAGGTACATACAGACACAGGTACATACAGACACAGAGACACAGGTACATACAGACACAGGTACATACAGACACAGGTACATACAGACACAAAGACACAGGTACATACAGACACAGGTACATACAGACACAGGTACATATAGACACAGGTACATACAGACACAGGTACATACAGACACAGAGACACAGGTACATATAGACACAGAGAGACACAGGTACATACAGACACAGGTGCATACAGACACAGGTGCATACAGACATAGGTGCATATAGACACAGGTACATACAGACACAGAGACACAGGTACATATAGACACAGAGAGACACAGGTACATACAGACACAGGTACATACAGACACAGGTACATACAGACACAGGTACATACAGACACAGGTACATACAGACACAGGTACATACAGACACAGGTGCATACAGACACAGGTACATACAGACACAGGTACACACAGACACAGGTGCATACAGACACAGGTACATACAGACACAGGTACATACAGACACAGGTGCATACAGACACAGGTACATACAGACACAGGTGCATACAGACATAGGTACATATAGACACAGGTACATACAGACACAGGTACATACAGACACAGGTGCATACAGACACAGGTGCATACAGACATAGGTACATATAGACACAGGTACATACAGACACAGAGACATAGGTACATATAGACACATAAACAGGTGAAACATTTGAGCAGGAAGTAAAACTAAACTAAAACCAGAAGTCAAAATAAAACACCACCAAATCCACACCATGACATTGTCCTTTGTTTAAAGAATTGAATCATTTTTATACATCATTTGTCTTAAATTATCTTCATAAAAGTAACGAGGATCAAGAAGAGTTGAACACAGACTAAAATCATGATTTCATAATCTTCTTTAATGTGTCGTTTCTGTCTCCTTTTCCATTGTTTCTGTAATATTATTATTATTATTAATTTGGCTCAAACAGCAGAGATTCTTACCTCCCATGTTTCTGTTGGAGCGGTCTCTTCAGCTCCAGACATTTTGAAAAAAATGAAAGACTATATGGTTGTAAATTGTCAGACTGTAGAGTGGGAGGTTAGAGTTATCTACAGGTCAAAGTTCTCTTAAAGGGACAGTAGCATTTATTATAATTACAGTCTCTGAGTCACTGCAGAGAAAGCATCAAAGACACGAACTAATGGATAAACTTTGATGGGAAACAGTAGTTGATTAATCAGTTACTAACTAATTATCAGGCTAGCATTAGCACCGTTAGCTTGTTCGGCGGTTACAGATCAAAAACACATGCTAAAGTGCTCTCAAAAGTTGCAAACATTTTCTAAACCTTCTGTAATTTACTAACACATGTACCCTCGGGTGTGGAGCGTTCAAATGCGGCGTTTCTGGCGAAATACTAACCTTTAAATGAAATAAAGAAAAGTCTCATCAAAGAAAACTTCCCTCAGGGTCATTTTTCAAGTAATTTTTTCCAGACTAATTTTTTTAAATAGTAGTAGTAGTAAGTAATCTTTATTTATATACCGCCTTTTCACTGCAGATCTGAGTCTCAAAGCAGTTTACAATTGTTAATTTTTGGGCATTTGTCTCTCACTCCACACAGAGATGGGAGCGGGGCCAGTACAGGAGGCACATGCTAGAACTATTGTACATATTTTTAGTGGTAGGGGAAACCGGAGTACCCGGAGGAAACCTACGCAGACACGGGGAGAACATGCAAACTCCACTCAGAAAGGCCCTGGTCCGACCGGGATTCGAACCCAGGACCTTCTTGCTGAGAGGCGAGAGTGCTATCCACTCAGCCACCGTGCCGCCCTATATTAAATTAAATATTGTGGAAAACGTCCCTAAACCCTAAAAGTATCAAGTTATCATGTGTTTTTTTCAAATAGTAATGGAATTGACCAGATGTCTATAGTCTCCAAAAATGTATACAATTTCTTTTGAAGCGGACTGATAAAAAAATGTACCAATGAGATTTGTTCATTCTCAACGAACCAATGGGATGTGTTTCCTCCTGCAGTGATATGCTGGGCAGGAACCTTTATCACTGTATGTTTCCTGTACCACAGTACTGCAGTAGTTGATACATCAGATACCACAGTACTGCAGTAGTTGGTATATCAGATACCACAGTACTGCAGTAGTTGATATATCAGATACCACAGTACTGCAGTAGTTGATACATCAGATACTACAGTACTGCAGTAGTTGATACATCAGATACTACAGTACTGCAGTAGTTGATATATCAGATACTACAGTACTGCAGTAGTTGATATATCAGATACTACAGTACTGCAGTAGTTGAAATATCAGATACTACAGTACTGCAGTAGTTGATATATCAGATACCACAGTACTGCAGTAGTTGATATATCAGATACTACAGTACTGCAGTAGTTGAAATATCAGATACTACAGTACTGCAGTAGTTGATATATCAGATACCACAGTACTGCAGTAGTTGATATATCAGATACTACAGTACTGCAGTAGTTGATATATCAGATACTACAGTACTGAAGTAGTTGATATATCAGATACCACAGTACTGCAGTAGTTGATATATCAGATACTACAGTACTGCAGTAGTTGATATATCAGATACTACAGTACTGCAGTAGTTGATATATCAGATACTACAGTACTGAAGTAGTTGATATATCAGATACTACAGTACTGCAGTAGTTGATATATCAGATACTTCAGTACTGCAGTAGTTGATAGATCAGATACTACAGTACTGCAGTAGTTGATACATCAGATACTACAGTACTGCAGTAGTTGATACATCAGATACTACAGTACTGCAGTAGTTGATATATCAGATACTACAGTACTGCAGTAGTTGATATATCAGATACTACAGTACTGCAGTAGTTGATATATCAGATACCACAGTACTGCAGTAGTTGATATATCAGATACTACAGTACTGCAGTAGTTGATATATCAGATACTACAGTACTGCAGTAGTTGATATATCAGATACTACAGTACTGCAGTAGTTGATATATCAGATACTACAGTACTGCAGTAGTTGATACATCAGATACTACAGTACTGCAGTAGTTGATAGATCAGATACTACAGTACTGCAGTAGTTGATTGTTAGTAGAGTTGTTGGATTTTCATTAAAGTGAATTAGAATATATTCAAGGTTTAGATAGCTACTGTGTGGTGGGATGGAGAATTCTCTCCCAGCCCCCAGGCAAGAATGTATGGAATCATCACCAAGTCATGAAACACAGGAAGTTAAATTAAGAAGAGCGTAGAGAACATCTGTTTAGAGTAGCCTCAGGCTTATTTACACAGGGGCTATTTGTTTGTTCTGAAACAGAGAAGGTATTGTCTTCACCTAAGGATGGTGGGACATATGGTCACATGTGTTTCAAATTATCATGGTATAAGACCAGAGTTCTGGGTCCATGTCTTTGTCACTCTTCTGCTGTTTTCCATCCAGCAGAGACCCAGACTGCTGCAGTCTGTAAAACTTGTCTGTTTGTGCTGATGTCCAGATAACCTGTAGTTTTGAACCAGCGGCTGACAACATGTATTAAAGAGATTATGTTGTTGAAATGTGACTAAGTTTATTCACATTATTTTGGTCCTTCGAGCCGGATGCCAACATGCTTTTCTGCGGAACTGAGGATGCCTCAAACATGGAGTTGGAGCAGCGGTGAGACCTTCTTCATTCAGAACTGCTTTGAGGACTCCATCTTTGAGGCATGGCCAGTCTCCGGATTGAAGTTGACGGCAGAACTAGAGTTTCTGGACATCCACATGGACAAGGTAAAACTATTTTTTTCCTAAAAAAAGAAACTAAATTTAAATCGTCTTTGAAGGCAGGAAATCCAATTTATCTTCTCAAAAAGCATTGGGGCAGTGAGATATCACGCACTTCTAAGAAAGTGGAGAATTTAAACTTCTATCCACTGGGACTTTTGAAGTCGGGGACTCAAAAAAGAGGCCGCGGATAACGAGGCTTATCCTTTTAATAGTCGATGGCTATTTCTTAGGCCTAGGATAACGAGGCTTATCCTTCTAATAGTCGAGGAGCTATTACAAATTCAGCACTATGGACGCATACGTGTAGTTGGAAAACCAGATCTGGCCATTTGAGGGAAAATGGAACATTTTGAGAGTGGTGATTTTTTCTTCAGCTGATTAGTGACTTTTTGGTAGAACTTTGTGGTCGCCTGCATAATAAGACAACAATTTTTCTAAATAATAATTTAAATTGAAAATTGAAATTTAGATATAAAGGCCTAAAGTGTGAGTGTGTGTGTGCGTGCACGTTTGAGGTGCATCCTTTGTGTCCCCTTCTGCCTTTCCCCCTCATCCCCCTTCTCCCTTGCTCCCAATTCTGTCCCTCCCGTCTGCTCAACTCTAGTTGGGTGGAGTAAGTTTTTATAGTTTAACTACTTTTGTTAATGCTAGCTACATTAACAAAAATAATTAAAAAGGGGTGGAACCAGTGATAAACATTTTACTGGTGAAAACATTTGGTAATGAGATTAGAGAATCATAGATAGATTTGAATTGACTTGAGCTGTGAATTTTTTGTGATTGGACAATTTTAAAGTTACTACATTTGGTACGAGCTCAAAAGGATTAGGCTGAAACTGAATTAGATTGATGATAGATAAGACTCAAAGTTAGCCTAGCTTTTTGATTTTTGTTTGCTTATGATCACAAAAGATGGTATTTTGTGCACACAAGTAGACTTTTATGTTAATTTTTGGGTTTGATTTGGAGTTTTTGTTTGTTTTGTGAGTAACTGTCTTTATGTGTAAGATTTAACAGACTAACATCTCCTCTTATGTGAGTAGTATTTGTTTGTTACTTCAGGTTTTGCATGTAAGTGTTTGTCTTCTGTGTCTAGGACTTAACTGACTAAACTAACAGACTATAAGATGAATAGGAAAGGTGGGAAGAGAGAGCGAGAGAGGAGTCAGTTTCAGGTAGGAAAAAGAAAGGGTGGTAGTAAAGATAGAAGCAATGATTTATGCTTAAAATGTCACAAGAGAGGACACTGGAAGAGGGATTGTACAGAAAGTGTTGGGTATGTTAGGAGAAAGACTAACGAAGTAGCAATGGATAATTGTAATGTTAACAGCAAGTTAGAAGTAACACTTGATTTTTGTGATGAACACATGGCTTCACTCAGTCTGGGAAACTGAGTGATTTAAAAAACATTTTAGATGTGCAGGGAAAAATGTTGAAACAGCAGAAGAAGTTTCTGGATGCATGTATTAAGATTAAACAATGCAAAGAAGTCATGAGTGAGTCAACACTAATGTTTTCTTCTGTTTCTGAGTCCATCACAGCCAGTCAAAGAGAGACATTTGGGGCAGATCATCTGATCCTTCCCAGCCACAGCCACTGCCTCACTCCACTCCAACCAGGAAGACAGGTCTGGGAGCAGAGTGCATCCAGATGGGGAGGAGAGAGCCAAGCAGTGGCACAAAGAAGCAAGGCTGCTTTAATTGTGGTTCTTTTGACCATTGGGCACGAGAGTGTTTTAAACTTCACAGATCAATTACAAGTTCATGTGCTGTGGATGGGAACGACGGATCAGACGCCTAAGAAGTCCTCTCTGACTGATGCTGACTCAGAACAATCAGATAAGTGGGAAACACTCTGAAAATAGAGCTCCGGTCGATGACGTCACGCACGCAGACATGCGCACACATCCGCCATGACGGCAGGCAAGATGGCGGTGGTTTCAAACTAGCTCCCAGTAGTTAACGAAGTAAAAATCCAAACAAACTAAAATGGTTGATTCTCGGCGAGGGGCAAAAAAGGGCAAAGCCTTTTACCGGATTCCCCATGATCCAACCAGACGGGATAGGTGGATTTCTGCTATCAAACGAGCCCATAGCAACGTGAAGAAATCCGAGCGCTGGAACCCTTCAAAACATGGATGTCGTCTATGCTCAGACCATTTCATCTCAGGTAACGTGACGAAATGCATTAAATTAGGCTTGATAGTGCAGGCACTGGTAAAAATGTATGT